TTACTGCCATTTTTAGCAGAAAAGTTTTCCTACTACAAATAACAGTAACCAACTGATGGTTCTATTTTCTCACTACTGGTAGACTTGAGAAATATACTATGCTTGTGACATGCTTGAAAACCTGGCTTTGCAGCTATCTTAAATTATTATTTTAAACAAGTGGGCATAAATAAAAAACATGTCCTTAGTGATTTTCATGACAATCATAGTGCTGTTAATGAAGGAAATTGCCCAGTGGATTCTTTTAAGTCAACAGGTTCTAAAAAAAAAAAGTCTACAAATTCTTCACATTTGGAGGCAATAACTTCTAATTTCTAGCTCTTCCCTTGATCCATATAGTATGCTCATCTGGAAAACATTTAGTCATTTCTGAGATTCTAAAATAAAGCAACTCCTGGTCCACTCTCTGCCTCTCATAAAAGGTCACATACATGACCAATTGGAGCATAGTATTTCTGAGCCATATGGAAGAAATAATTGACCAAATAGGACCCTAGTCACTTATTGAAAGAATAGATGCATCTCTTTAAAAATGGTTTCTCTCATGAGGCCCAATATTTTGATAAAAACTTTTACAAACTTCTGAAAAGAAAAATTGCAAAATATTTGAGGAGGGGGCTGGAGTGATAGCACAGCAGGTAGGGCGTTTGCCTTGTACGCGGCTGACCCAGGTTCGATTCCCAGCATCCCATATGGTCCCCCGGGCACCGCCAGGGGTAATTCCTGAGTGCATGAGCCAGGAGTAACCCCTGTACATTGCCGGGTTTGATCCAAAAAGAAAAAAAAATTTGAGGAGAATGCAATGCTTTCTGATTTCATATAGGGTTCTGTTGAAATTGACATAATTTAGCTTTAAGTGATCATTTTGAGCAAAGGTTGAATTAATGAAGACAATTAAGATCCAAATTTTATTTCCTAAGTAGGGTAAAAATAAGATTATATTATCTAAATTTTAATTATTTATTCAGGAGAAAAATTTCTCATAATTTAAGAATCGGTGTCAAAATGCCAGGATGTCAAAAATTTTAGTGAAATCATTAATAACTTTTATTAAATAAAAGTTATTACTATAACTCTTGGTGAGTGATTCTTACAGAATAAATAATTGGTTTATTTTCCTGGGCATATTTCAAGGTATTGTGAGAAACGAATGTTCTTTTAAAAGAGTATTGAGTAATAGTGTCATCTATAGCATTTCCCCCAAACAATTACGATTTTCTTATTTTTTCTTTCTTGTATCTTATGGCACTCACTTATTTTGAGAAGTGCAGGAATTTTTCTAAGTTTTACATCTTCAATAATGCAGTGTAGAGGATAGTATAAAGGATAGTTTTACTCTGTGAAAAAAACTATTTCAGCGTGAAGCTTAAGAACAGGAAAATACAGTGCAGTATCCTACTTTTGTAATATGTGAAGAAAAACAATGGCATGCTAATGACAAATTGAATCTTTGCAATCAAGATGAATGTCTTATGCTATAAATTGTTCATAGTCTACACCTCTGGTTTTAATTAGCCATCTCAAAACCTCATGCTGAAGGTCAGCTAGGGTCATAAAGAACATAAATGGCTTACCTCAAACCAGTGTCACAATTACAATATAAGTTAAAACATATGCTTTTTCAGTGCTCTGAATCTGGCATCATCTTCTAGAAAAGCAAACCTGTGGTAACACAGTTGTTCATTTTCTTTTAGTAATAGATTAGTCAAATGTGACTAAAATAAGGGAGGAAACCAAACTGGGATTTTATCTAATGAAAGCCACAGAATTTAGTTTTTAATACTGTACCTAATAATGATAAATTTCTTTGAAACATGAGATCAGTTAAATTATTAATTCAGATAAGAACTATTCAGTGATATCTCAAAAACTGATAGAGTTTAGATTTCAGAGGACAGATATATTTATAAAAGGTAAAGGTAAAGGCCCTCCCATTCATCGATTTGCTCGAGAGGGCCCAGTAACGTCTCCATTGGAGACTTTGTTGTTACTGTGTCTGGCATATCGAATACGTCACGGGGAGCTTGCCAGGCTCTGCCGTCCGGGCGAGATACTCTCGGTAGCTTGCCAGGCTCTCCGAGAGGGGCGGAGGAATCGAACTTGGGTTGGCCATGTTGGCTGCCTGCAAGGCAAATGCCCTACCACTGTGCACAGCCAGGAGAGCATTTATCTTGCACGCGGCCGACCCGGGTTCGATTCCCAGCACCCCATAGGGTCCCCCGAGATATATTTATATCTATACTTAATTAGCTTAGGACTTAACACAAATATGTTGAGTGACTTACAACTTTTTAAGTTATTTTTTAAAAAGACAATCTCAAAGTTCTCTAAGTTTAGGGCTGGAGCGATAGCACAGCAGGTAGTGCATTTGCCTTGCACACAGCCGACCCGGGTTGGATTCTTCCGTTCCTCTCAGAGAGCCCTGCAAGCTACCAAGAGTATCCCGCTCGCATGACAGAGCCTGGCAAGCACCCCGTGGCGTATTCACTATGCCAAAAAACAGTAACAAGTCTCATAATGGAGACGTTACTGGTGCCCGCTCCAGCAAATCTATGAGCAACGGGAGGACAGTGCTACAGTGGTAAATACTAGTTTACCATTAATTTTTTTTGGTAGGGAGGATGGGCACACTTGATGATTCTCAGGGAATCCTCCTGGCAGTGCTCAGCATACCATATTGGGGTTCCAGAATTAAACCCAGGTTGACCGTGTGAAAGCCATTACATGCTGTATTCTCTCCTTGTTTCCTGCTATTTTGCCATAAAAAGGCATGAAGAGATGCTAAAATGTTATGAAGAGATGCTTTTAGAGTGTTTTATCATCAGATTAATATAAAAATATTCATTTGAAGGACATTTACTAAATTGCTACTAAATAGTTCACCCCTTAATTATATTCTTTGATGTTTTTAGAATGTAATATTAAAGTAACATTTTTATAATGAATTTAAGGCATTTAAAATTCTACAGCATATTGCTTCTTCCCTTTCCTGCCCCTTACCCCCAGAAACACCTGGAACTGAATTTACCGCCAAATTGTATTTCCTATTAAGTGGGTGTTTTTCTAGTTATATTCTTTATCAATGTTTACATTTTGACTTGTGTACCCTCATTCATTTAGAAGCAGATATGTCTTATCCTGTCCTTCAGTTATTCCTCAAGCTTTCAAGATTATTGACTGCTCCTTGAAACTCCTTGCCTCCATGGTACTTTTGGTATTAAATATTTATTGATGCTAACTGGATGTCAGCCACCATTTGGATTTTTCTCCTGACTTCAGGTTTTTCTGCTGCTTTTTAAATGTGCAGTCCCCCAATGTTCTTTCATTGTTCTCTTGTTTTCTTTCTGTGTTTTTTTCCTTGATTTAGGAGCACAAAGGTTTATTGAAACTTGCAGTGAGCTGGACTTCAGAATTCTTGGATATTAGTACAGTCTAGGAGGTATTCTAACCTATATATGTTAGAGAATGCTGGAGGGATAGTAACCTGTTACCAAATCTATGAATGTCTTTTCAGTGAAGCATCTGAGTGCTTATACATATAGCATATAGGGTAAACACCTTAATTATCCTCACAATTCTTAATCAGGTTTTGTTGTCAAATAAATCTTTCCCCCAAATATACGACAAAGTTTTTGGTTCTTAGATTACAGGAGAGGGATGACAGACCTCTTAAATTTATTTTTTTGGCGGGGAATTGGAGGAACTTAGGGCCACACTGTGCTGTGCCTAGGGTTTACTCCTGGCTCTGTGCTCAGGGATCATTCCTGGTGGGGCTCAGGAGATCTTATATACTGCCAGGGATTGAATCTAGGGTGACAATGTGCAAGGCAGGTGCACTACCCTCTCTGTATTACTGCTCTGGTCCTAAATTCTACTTTATTTTAGAGATTGCCTCTCAAGTCTGTCTGTTCCTGTATTTTTAGGCCTGGAATACAATATGTGTGGTCCTGTTGCCAGTTTATTTGTATAGCAAAAGTTCTAAAAAGATGTATATTTAGCGATCGCAATGTCTCTGGAAAGACACCAAGTAATTTACCTTTTATTTAAAACTTGTGTAAAGTTTTAAGTTTCTATAATTAGAGGAAAATCAGCATTAAGTACATAAAGGAATATAAAATTATGTGGCTAACTTTACTGCTAGTAGTACTGATACTAGGGTGTGCATGCCAGGGATCAGACTCGGGACCTCATGTTCCACCACTTGAACCACATTCCCAGCTCCAAATGTACAATTTTCTAAAAACTGATTTTGTGTTTTTGGACTATACCCAGCTTTGCTCAGGTATTACTCCTGGAGGTGTCCAGGGCACCATATGTGGTACCAGGAATTAAATGTCTATTGTGTGCAAGGAAAGCACCTTAATCCCGGTGCTCTCTCCAGCCTCAAATATTTAAATTGTTATTGGGCCACATCGGTGGTGCTCAGGGCTTAGTCCTGGCTCTGAGGTCAGAGATCACTACTGACAATGCTTGGGGGACTATATGGGGATCAAACCTTATTTTAGGATTGGGTCCATGTCAGACAAGCATCCTTACCATTGTACTGTCCCTCTGACTTCCAAATATTCACATTTCAAATCTTGAAAGAAGGTACTGCATTGATTTTGTATTTGAAAGAGATTAGAATCTAGTTCTGTATAGGAATAAACAAGTCATCCCCACCTTCATTTATAAATCCTGTTTTTTGAAAACAGTGACTCATGTTTACTAGAGGTTTTAGGGTCCTAATTTTATTTTTTTGTAATTTTATTGAATCACTGTGAGATATGCAGTTACAAAGCTGTACATGAGTTTCAGTCCGACAATGTACCAACACCATCCCTTCAGAAGAAAATCACTGTTTTTGTTGCGTCAAGTAGAAAAACGGTATAGATCATGAGGTAGTAAGTAGACTCTTAAGGTGGCTTCATTTACATTTAGTAGGTCTAAATCCTCATCTGACCTTAGACAGTTATGAAATTCTAAGCTTGGGTAAAAAAACAAGAACGAAACTATTAATAGTATTTATCATTTTAACTTTTATTAATGAAGTCACTAAACTTTGGTAATTTGTTTTTACATCTGATTTAACTATACACTGGAGAAGTATAATTTTTTTATGAGGGCTTAAGAAAGATCTGAGTATGTCAGAGCCATTAAAAAAATGGTGTACTGGGATGAACTCTAATAAAGTTAGGTACATAAAATTAAAGAGAACAGATGAAATATTAAAGACCTCAGTAAGTGCTCCCTATGGAGATCACTTGGGCCTCCTTTAATAGTCTTCAATGTAGGTCATTTGCTATTGTAAAAATTTCATTGCAATCAATCAGACTTTTCAACTCCCAAAGGAAAAAACTGAGGGAACTCATGGGTAATTTTCACTGCTTCGTTGTAAAGTCCAAGATCTGAAATAAACATTAACAGGCAATCAATAGTAGAAAGGTATACCACCAATTATTATCTAGAAGATATATGTACCTGTATTTTTCTTTGCCTTTTAGAGGCAGCTTATTTTCACAATCCTTTTAAATGCTGTGCACTAGTTGATCCCCCCAGCCCATACATTAAAAGAAACACCAAAAGTTTTTTGCTGTATTTAAAAATTTCATATCCATCTTTACCAGATTTCATGTATTTATAAGCTGCACCTAGAAACAAGACAAAGGATCTTCCCATTTTTCCTTTGGCGTCAGAAGTCTATGTAATTGGAAATATGGCAGGACAGAGAAAAAAAAATGACATCTAGTTAAGAGTAAAATTTACCGTTCTAATTATTAAACCAAAAAATATTAAAATGCTTTATTTACCAAAAGGATGGTTATCTTCTTTAAACTGGAAATAAGATGTACACATAATAGTTGCCTTGGGTGTTACTTTTCCAATTACTTCCACGATTCCAGAGATTTCTTCCTCAAGCTAATAAGGAATAAGATATCAACTTGGTATTATATTTCATATAATTGGGTTAATAATTTCATATTATTGGGTTAATAATTAGCTTGTAAAGTTATTATGGGGTTAACTAATCTTGTTGGTTCATGTACAAAAATTTGTAAGTGTAAAAACTACCTGTTTGAAAGTGTTGAGTAATTTTTGTCAGCGTATAATAAGTCCTATTATTTTTAGCAGAAGCCTTAGGCCGAAGGAACAGTTCAGTGTTTAAATTGAAGACAAAATCAATTCAAGATACTGAGAATACTCTGCAAGAAGCAATTTGTTGAGGACACTCAAAACAATCTTTTACTTATAATTTATGAAGTGTTCTTATTACATTAATCAAATAATACATGGATTTGTCTTTATGAAAGGCAAAACAGGTGTTTTTAATTACATAAACTAAGAAAATGAATGACAGTTCAAATTATAAACAAAAAATACTAAGAAAGGAAAAGGTGATTTAATCAGAAGTTTCTAAGGAAATGAAACTTTCCCTAACATATATGTGGAAGAAAAAGTCCATAAACAGTAAAGTTTTTTTGTTGTTGTTCTTAATAAAACAGGTTTTCAGGCATTTCTTAAGAAATAAGATCTGCACACAGGTTTAAAGGACATATTAAATATTGGTGCAGTTTAAAAAAGTTGTTGGTTAGAAATATAATTTAAGAAGAGAGTGAATACTTAAGTTGAGGCTTGAGAGATAGTGCTGGGAATTGGAATAAGGTGCTTGACTTGCATGCAGCTGATTCCTGTTCACTCCATGGGACCATATAAGATTCCTTGAGCACCAGACCTGGAAGTAGCTCCTGAGCACCACCAGGTGAGGCTCAAGCAGCGCCCTTCCCTTCCTTGTAAAACTTCCCTCTAAACTTTCCTGTGTAGAGTGAGGGAAGTTTTATAAGAAGGTCCTTTATACATCCACTCCAAGAGTCAGGAACATTAGCAACAAAACAGACCAAAGTGAGCTGTACACAGAATTAGTACTGAAACATACAGGCTCCATCAACTCAATGGTTCCATTTTTTCCTTCTCCATCTGAAAGAATGAACATTTTTCCAGTTGGATGAATCTAAAATAGAAAACAAAAACTTGAAAATCTCATTAAAATAAAAATACCAAAAATTTCTCCAAAGATAAGCTTACATTGATGACTACTATGAACAGTTGCTGAATCTGGCAGTCCTATGCTAAGAAATTAAAGGAGATCCAGGTATCGAACAGTGAGATCTTCTGGGAACCTTGATTTACATAGTACACATCCTACTGGCATGTTTTAAAAATTAGGAACGATGAATTAAAGCCAGAATTGATTATATATGAGGCACTAGTGTGAGGAGCAATCAGATCTAGTTGGAAGGCAACTTGAGAGCAATCAGATCTGGTTAGAACTACAGCTCTGCTATCTATGTGGCGTTAGCATTTTATTTTCCCCTTCTTTCTTTTTCTGGGGGCAACACTAGAGATGTAGAAAGGCGGTTATTTCTGGCACTGACCTTGGAGTTGCTTTCAACAATGCTTGATGCTTTTTTGAGCCGGAGGCTGGGCTCTTAACCCTGGGTCCAGCATGTGAAAGAGCTATCTCCCTATTCCAGGCCTTAGCATTTTCACCCATCAGGATTACCCAATTTCCCTTTACAATTCGTAAAAACATATTTCACGACTAGGTTTTGTTACTAATAAGCCTTTTAAGAGTTTTCTTTCCCTAGGCTTTCTCGGTTCACTGATTAATATTTTGGACATTAATATTTTGGATATTAATATTTTCGAAGTTGCAGGAATTTCTCACTTAACATTAGGTTAAGAGATGACTGCTGCACGCTAGATTGGAAAAGATAGTCAAGGCATGTTTTCTGGGAAAGTGACTTTTATGGGAAAACGAGGTTTGAGGAGAGAAATTTGAAAAGTAAACAAGAAAATTAGACTAGTTGTCAAGTCTGGCTAAACAAAAATAAATGACACTGGGACCCGGTTCGGTGTTTTACAGCGCGAGCTTTGTTGGCAGGAGATCCTGGTTCAATCCCGGTACCAGAAAATAATGGGGGAAAAAAAAAGTCAGAAGATAGGTATGGCAGTCATATCTTTTAAGTTCATTTACGCAAACACAACGGAAGGCGATGAGCTGGAATTTAGAATGGGGAGCGATCCAACGCACCTCGATTCTGTTCCATAAAAGGCGCCAATAATGGGGTTGAAATGACTGAAGAGTGTATACAAAGTTTGCGAAATAAAGTAAGAGAGCTCAGAGGCCGCTTTCTGCCTGCCTTCTTGCGCTGTGGCCCACTCTTCCGCAGGTACCCTGAGGCTCACAGGTCTCCCCACCCCTCCTTCTGCTACCGACCCAAGTCAAGAGCGATGGGCGCCGCACCTTTTCTAGCCTCCCCACGAAGCAGACCGGCCGGTCGATGTACTGAGCTAGCATGCTGGCGTTGATGCGCGACCTGGGTAATTCCATAATTTCCATCACGAAAGCCGCACAGGACCAGACGGTGGCGGGAAACTGACGAGACGATTCAACGCGCGCATCCCGAGGGCGGACGTCCGTGCAGATGTCCGCGGAGCCAATCGGATGTAGAGCAGGACTTGCAACGCACCAATCAAAATGCGCGGAAAAGAAACTACCCCCCCGCTGTCCCGGAAAGGGATGGAGAAAGGCGGACTGCGCCCGGAAGTGAGCAGCGGCTGCTTAGAGACGGTCGGCGTCCCGGAAGTTGCCGGGACTCCGGGGAAATGGGCAGCGGAGGCGGGGCTCCGGCGGGGCGGGGCGTGAGCCTCACCGCCGGGACTTGACCCCGGAAGAAGGGTGTGGGCTCCGGTGCCGGTTCGGCGGGGAACTGCGGCGCACGCCTCAGGTACCTCTTCTCGCGGGAGGCGACGAAGCTTTACGGTTTCTCCTCATTCTCAGCGACGGATGCGGAAGGGAGGGGCCGAGGGTGGTCCACGTCGTAGCGCAGCTGTTGAGAGCTGCGCGGTGTTGCGATTTGTTGAAGTGTTTTTAATTTTTTTCTTGTATTTTTTTCCCCTGCCCTGCCGCCGCTCTTTCCGGTCTTGTTTTCGCAATTGCGGGATTCTTGCTGAATGATCTGTAGGATCTCTCTTTCTCTTTCTGTCTCTCTCTCCTCTCTGTCTCTCGCTGTCTCTCTCTCTCTCTCTTTCTCTCTCTTTTTCTCTTTTTGACAACACCCTCCTGGACTCTGTAAGTGGGGGCTCCAGTGCTTTTCATTACCTTTGTCAGGCTTTGTTATTTGGTGCCAGAGGATCGGTAATTTACCTCCTAGGGCTGCGTCACTTTCCAGCCTTAAGTTGATCTGCAGGTGCTGCCACGTCGCTTCCTTCTCTTACGCTGTCCAGTCCTGACAGTCGGGCCACACTGCGAAATTGCGGGTTTCTCCCCATCCTCGGGGTTGGGGGGAGCGGATTGAAGGTTTTGGGAGTTCGTTCGGGGGCTTGGGGGCGGGCGGGGGGACGTTGGCAGTCGCTGACACACGGAGATGAACTTGTGTCGGGGTGAAGGCCTGAGCAGGTGTGCTTCACTGGCACTGGCTTCACTGGGATTGCGCCTTTAGTGAAGTGAGACTTAAATACCCGCAAGTGGCAGTTGATACTCCTTTAGGACTTTACCCGTTCATTACCTTCTGCTCAAAAACTGCAGGGGAAGTGAAAGCGTGGGAAGGTAAACTTTTCAAGGAGATTTGGGGGAGATTTTTGACTCTGTCACATGCCCCATGTGACCATGATTTTTCTTGGCTATCTGCTGGAATTGGTGCCTACTTTGCTATGGATATATAAGGAGTGCTTTGGAAAATAAAACAAAAACAGAAACTCCTTTTGTATTGCGATATGACGATTTTACGGAAAGTTGACTTTAAATTTGCCTAAAACCACCCAGTTGTCAGATATCAATTCCTGGAACCTGGCCTTAATTCAGTAGTGCAGTTAAGACAATTCTTTTGAGACTTCACGTTGAAATTTGGTGTACCATAATTGATAGTCTCCCTGGGTGTTTAACATTTCATGTATTTCTCTTTTAATTTTACTGTCACTAAAACATGCACAAAAGATCTCATTAACAGCCACAGGTATATGTCATGTGGAGTATAACGAAGTGGCCTTTGTTTTGCTTCAAGTCCATAAAGTTAATTTTACACTCTGCATCAATGTCTTTTTTTGCACTTTAGTGATACTTTGGGGAGCAGTTGATGTGCATTATACAGGGCATGACACACATATATCTTTATAATAGTAACTTTTTGTTTTATCCCCAGAGAAGCCTTTACAGTATCAAAGGCTCTTATCTCTGTTACATTAAAAGACCACTTTTATACAACAGTAGTATTTTTTAAAAGGAAAATGAGTCCGGTGATTATTTAGCTTTCTGTGTATCTTTTGAGTAAAGTCTGATTCAACAGATAGAGAAAAGTATAAGTAGATAGGAATTGTTCAGAGAAATTAAGTGAACCAATGCTGGTCTCTCATTCAATTTACGGAGAACTTTACCTCAAGTTCAGCATTTTTCAGTTAATCCCTTCTCCCCCAACCAATCAGAACTAAATGCTATATGAAAATTTATATTAAGCTCCCTAAACTTACAAAGTTGTGTGTGTGGTGGTTGGTGGCGTGGGGGGTGGGGGGGCACATCTAGCAGTACTCAAATATCAGTCTTGGCTGTGCTCAGGGGGTCCTTGTGGTTGCCAGGTTCGTCTTGTGTGGCTCAGATCTACCTTGTGCAAGGAAGTAACTTAACCCCCAAACTATCTCTCTGGCCCACCAAACTATATTCTGTATTTTTTTTCCTCCACACATATAGGCATTCCTAAATCAAATGTTAAATTTTTCTTACTTTATAAATAAAGTTTTAAAAAATGGTAATCATCATGTGTTTGAATTTATTTTGCTTTCTTATGAGGTGTGTGTGTGTGTGTGTGTGTGTGTGTGTGTGTGTGTGTGTGGTAGGGCATAGAATGCCCACTGGTTTTCAGGGTTACTCCTAGTGATGCTCAGGACCCTGGGACCTTTCGAGGTGCCAGGGATCTAACCATGTTCAATTTTGTGCAAGGCAAGCATCTGCCCTCTGAACTATCTCTCTGGCCTGAGATTAATCACATTGGCATATGTAGATAGGTACTTTCTTTTAATTCTGTTTTCTATTATTGCTAATGTTTTGGTAGTTTGCATTTTTTTTTAAATCTGTAGCACAGAGAGCTGCTGTGAATCTTGAACCTGCTTTTCAGTTCACCTGTGGAAAACTTTATCAGTAGAATTGCTGGAGCATAGAGTAGGTTTGTTTAGCTTCACTGGTAAAGTCAAGTATTTTCCCCATGTGGTGATAACAGTTTATCCTATTGTTGGGAGTGTAGGAGAGTTCTAATCTGTATTTCAGCAAACCTTGGATCCTCCCTCTCCAGTTGGGTAAAAATTGAACCTCAGTTACCTTCTTGTGGGTCTAAGTTCCCTCTTTACTAATAAGACTTAACTACTTTTTTAATATTTCTATTCATGATCACTTAGTTTTTTTCTTAGTGACATATAGGAAATTAAGTTATGCCTTTCATATTGAATATTCTGTCATTTAGAATTGAATTATTAACATGTGGTTCTAGATAGGTAACAAGTTCTTTTTTTTTCCTTTCTATTGTTTTAGCATCATCAATTGACTGTATTGTATTTCTGTCATTGATCTTTATTGTCACTTAAAGTTTATATTCATGTGTGTTTGCAGATTTTGTTGTTCCTGGGCTCATGCTTTGCTTTAATGGTTCATAATTTCTGTCCCTGAACTTATATCCACTTCCTCAATATTGTGGTCTTCTGGTAAGGTTTGATTTCAGGGGATAACTATCTGCCTTGCTGCTTTCCTCAGAAGTGCTTAGTCTTCACTCTGCAAATTAGCTTGTCAAGTTCTGTGTAAAAGCTTTGTGAGATGTATCACATTTGCATCGATCTTTAGATTAACTCGGAAAAGCAAGATCTGTTGAAAAATTCTTACCTTTAACTATTGTGTTTTTGCTTTTTCGATTTGGTGCCTACACCTGGGGGTTTTTAGAGGCTTCTATCTCTTTGGGGTTTCTTTTGGTAGTGCCGAGACCATTGAGGAGATTTAAGGGTTGAATCTATGGGTTCCCAGTACAAAGTTTGTGCAATTAACCTTTGCAGTGTATATTTGGCCTCTAGTTTTCTTCTTTACAAAAATTTTTTCCATTTGGATTAGTTTTATTCCTACCTACATTATTGATTTTATGAATGTTTTAAAAATATTTTATTGCCTCTTCTTTATAGGAATGATGTGACTTTTTTGGTCATCTTGCTAAACTTGTATTTATGACAGTCTTTAAGATTCTTTTGGATTTTCTATTTCTACATGAATATTATGGTTTTGTTTAATAGTGCACATATTTCATTTTCCATGCTTAGAGTTTCCAATACCATTTTGAATAGAAATGGTGTTTCAGTAAAGATGGAATTTTGCTCTGGGAATAAAAATATCTCAGTCATGAAAATCTTAGTTGTATATGTCCAGATACAGGTAATTCAGCATACAACGGTGTGGTAGTGCTACTAAGATATCAGGAATCCAGATTCCTTCTGCTTTTTATTTTGGAGCCTGAGGTGTGGGGCCATAACCTTGGTGCTCTGGGGTTCCTTCCTGTGAGGTTTTGGGGGGGGTTATGTAGTACAGGAGATGAACCCCAGTCGCCTGCATACAAAGTTTACTCTGCAGCTCTTTGAGATATCTCCCTGTCCTTCTTTAAAAAAAATTCAATTTTTAATTTATTGTTAAGGATTTTCTAAATTTTAGTTTTTTATCAAGATACTAGAATTTACAAAGTTCTTCAGGTCGAGTGTTAGACATACTATTTCCCAGCAACAGTCCCACTACCAGTGTCAACTCCTCTAGTGTCCCCAGGTCTCCCCTTACTTCCTCACCTCCCCGCCTACCTCTTTGACGTTTTCAAATTTGGTGTTTTTGGTTTGGATCTCCTGCTGTCATTGTTATCGACTGTATAGTTTGGATATATAGCTATACCACTTCATTTTTTTTATTGAGATAATGGTTTACTTGTAATAGAACAAGCTGGGTTCTGGACCATCAAGTTTCCTATTCCAGGCAGTAGAGAAATAGGTTGGAAAGAGGGTATATCTCCATAGAATTCAGTGGCCTGTATGCAGCTTTCCCAGGAAATCCTTCACAACTTGAAGTTCTACTTGTTAGGTAAAGGGGTTCTCCTTTTTATTTTCTTAGTTTGATTGAGAAACTGGGGATATAACCCTGGGACTGTTGTGCTTGCTTTTCCATCCACAGCACTGCATGGCCCCTCAAACACGGCCAGGACTGACCCCCAAAAAACTAGCTGCGAGTAGGATCAGGATCCCTCTCCCTTCAACCCCGCCCACCAAATCAAAACAAACAAAATCTGAATTTAGTTGTAATAAAATTTCATAAAAAAATTTGGGGAGAGTTAATTGAGGTGCTTGAAATAAATATATTTACTGGTGTTGAACTGTGCTTACATTCCTAGAAGAAACACAACATGATTATATTATTCTTTGTTAGTTATGTTCCTGGGTCTTATTTGCCATTGGTTTGCATAGGATTTTCACATGCCTATTCGTGAGTGATACTGACCCATGATTTTTCTTTCTCGTCTCCCTGTTAGAGTCCAGTTTTAGGGTATACAAGTCTCAGGACATGAAACTGAGAAAGTGTAATAATGATTGATGATTTGGTGACTTCATTCTTAAAACATTCTGGGTTGATATATTTAAATGATATTGTATCTTTTTTATTGTGTTCTTCCATCTGGTGGAGAAAAGATCCAGGGGCTTGCATTCTTCTTTCCATATACCTTTGGTG